CATGGGGGTGCTGAAGGCAACCAGAGGCCAGAACCTACCACCAACGCTTTGGGGGAGGTTGACAGGAATAGCGAGCCAACCAACAGTGTGTTCTTCCTCCTCCTACCTTAAGCCCCCTCTAGCGCCCCTATTGGCAAAACTTAACAGGAGCAGCAACAAAAGAGAAATGTTTGCAGAGTTCCAGCTGCAGCATTTCAAAGTCACATACAGAGGGTGGGTTGGGATGCGAATCAATTACTAACTCGCACATTAAACAATTTGCCTAAGGTTACATAGTAAGTGTGGTCTGTCTTGCTCACTGCAATGTCTCGGTGCCTAGAAAAGTGCCTAGTATATAATATACACTCAGTAAACATTTGGGTGAGGAAGGAAAGACGGCAAGCTAGACTAGTCCAATTCTACAGCACACATTTAAAAGCAAAGAGTCCAGGGGCGCCTGGGTGGCGCAGTCGGTTAAGCGTCCGACTTCAGCCAGGTCACGATCTCGCGGTCCGTGAGTTCGAGCCCCGCGTCGGGCTCTGGGCTGATGGCTCAGAGCCTGGAGTCTGTTTCCGATTCTGTGTCTCCCTCTCTCTCTGCCCCTCGCCCGTTCATGCTCTGTCTCTCTCTGTCCCAAAAATAAATAAAAAACATTGAAAAAAATTAAAAAAAAAAATAAAAGCAAAGAGTCCAAAATATCCCTGGTTGTCTGCCCCACTGTGTAAGCACAATCATAGCACCAAGTATGTCTATACTTGAGCCACTCTCTCCCAGTTTGGCTGTAGGAACTAACTAAGGAGGTACTACTGCCTGGTGCTTTGGAGAAATGTAGATCTGGATTCAAATCCCAATTCCACTAGTCAAGAGTTGTGTAGCTTTGGGCAGATTACTCAGCATCCCTAAGCCTTGGTTTCCTCATCTGTATAATGGAGATGGTAATGATGTGCGAGCTTTAAATGAGGTAATTGTGCGTGGCACCTGCTCAATCAGTGCTCACTGTTACCATCACCCCCACCCCAACCCCAGAAGGGTGAGCAGATAAGTGGTAGGCTGAGGCCAGTCAGGGACTAGCGAGCCGGTTGTTCTCGGCTTCCCACCCGTGCTGGTCAGAGCTGGCCAAGACCTAGGCTGGAGGAGTAGGGGTCTGACCACAGCTGACACAGTCAAGCCCAGGGTTGGAAGATGGAGGCCAGATTGGCCAGGCCCAGGGCTCTGCAGCCCAGCAGGGTTCCATACGCCTCGCTTGGCACCTCATTTCTCTGGAACCTGGAGATCGGAATCTGTGTTTCCCAATAGTTCCACGTTTCAAAGCAAGTTTACTCTAGCCCGAGACAAACGCGGGTGTGGCGGTTCCTTACATTCAAAACGAAACAAAAGAAAAGAAAACAAAGAGAACCCCCGCCCCCAACCCAGGAAGGCCTGCGGACTTTTCCCAGGCAAATGTGCAGTGGGAGAGGAGCGGGTTCCTTTGCGGCTGCTGCCCGGCTCCAGAGCTTAGGAATACAGCCTCTTGGTGCTCCGGTTCGGGGTCCTGAGCCTCCAAGGCACCGGGGCCGCAGCAGTGGGGTTCGCCCTGCCCAGCTCAGGTCCCAACCCAGTGCCCAGTCGGCTCCAGGGCCGGGGAAGGCGGGAGCACAGCAGAGCTGCCTGCGCCCCGCCCCGGGAAGCACCCGCTCCCCCTGCCGGAATCCCGGGAATGTCGCCGGTCCGGAAAGCAGCTGGACGGCCTCTGGGCAGAGGGAGAGGTCAAACCTGGAATTTTCTTGGGCGCTTTTGCACAATATCCCCCCAAGCGTTTCAGTCCCATGACGTAGAAACCCACGGGGGGACGAAAAGGAAGCAGCCTACTTTTTCTCCGGGAAGACTTAGTCGCAGCAAAGGCACTCAGTCCCGCTCGTAGCCCCCCAGATGCCTTTTTCAGGCTCGAAAGATCCCTTTGTGTCTGAGAGAGGAAGCCCTTTCTCGCTTGGAAACAGACAGGGCCACCCCCGGGCATGCGTTTCCAGCTGGATTGTCGCCATCTCGTGGCAGGATTGGGTGGCCACACTGGTGCATAGGCCAGACCACCCTGCCTACGACTTTCTTGGGTCTCCAAGTACCTTTCCTTCTTTCCCCAACCAGTTAGCAATGGACATTTAAAAATCATGTTCTCAGGGCATAGGAGTTGAAGTGTAATGCCTGTGTCCCCTCCACCTTCCAATTGTGCGTGCATGTGTCTTCCTAATGGCAACCAAGCGTTACTGGAGACTCCAGGAGAGAGCAGATGCCTTACTGAGGGGTTCTGCCTCCTGAGGCACCATGAGCAACTAGAATGAGGGGCCAATCCCCCACCAATTTCCCATGATACAAACTAATGATTAAGAAGACAGAGACGCACACTGTCTTGTTCCCACTGGTTTGTAATGTTATTATACTTGATGAGTATTATTAAAGGACCCCTGTTATTAAAGACTCCCTATTATTATTGTTGTTATTATTATTATTTAGCATTTATAATATATTCTGTATTTTCAAAGCACTCAAAGACTATTATCTCCCCCAGCTTTCCAAACACTCCAGAGAGGCAGTCTTCACTTTATAAAATAGGGAAACTGAGGCACTGTAATTAGTGCAAAGTTGATGGATTGATGAGTCAACAGTAGTCATTTCTTCCCAGGTGATTATTGTCTTACTCCAAAGTGTCATAGACGCCAGTAGATGGTAAATAGACACCCTAACTTGGGAAACTAGTTCTCTCACCCACTTTTATGACCCATTGTAATCACATTAGAAACCCAGTCCCAGGAGTTTAAAACTTCCAAGTTATGTGTTCATTGCATTGAGCATATGGATGATGTTAATTGTATTTTATTTTATTTTTATAAGTCAAACACAACCCATTAAAAAAAAAGCAGGGATGTTGCAATCAATAAACCAGATGTATCTTGATTTGGAGAATAAATTGGTTTTCAAGACAAATACCCCATTCATTAGACACAACAAGCATAAAAAAGACCACTAAAAACCAATCATCTTATTTTAGTGTCTATTATCCTTTCAGAGACAAGAAAAACTATTTTCTGCTTTCAGATTTTGTTTCTTCTTTCCAAAGATTTCAGTCTTATCAGTAGCCACACTCATATTACCACAGTACCTTAAGTTCCTTCAATAACAGCTTTCTCTCCAAAAGCAACAACAAAATAAATTACCTTGCTCTGCTCATAGAAAGTGCTCCTCTTCTTCCTCCCACCCCCTCAAAAAGAGAGAGAGAGAGAGAGAGAGAGATCCTGTCATTCTAGAAGTTTCCAATGGAAAGCTTTAGGCTTGAATTCAGAGCTGTGTCATGGTTGAGGCGAAGGAGAGTTCGAGAGACTTGTTCTACCATCAGTTGCTGAGTTAGCCTAGCCCCCCGCAAAGATACAATGTTGAGGAAGCTTGTCCTGGGAGCCTTCCCATAACCTTTAATGTTCTCTTTTTACCCAGTTCTTACCCAAAATAATAAATATCTACATGTGCATTTTTTAAAGAAATTAAGGGAGTTATTTGTTAGTTTGGGGTCTATCAGGTCGGCCTTCTCAACCTTTCTTTATATTCATTTAAGGGGTTCATTTTCTCAGAAGGAATGTATTTATAAATTGTATTAATAAATAGCTACAGTTAGTAGACCTATGATAAATTATTAATCCTATGCAGCAATCCTTTGAAGTAGATTTTCATTATCCCCGTTTTACAGGTAAGAAAACTAAAGTTCAAAAAAGCTCAGATAACCTGCCCATAGTCCCACAGCTAGGGAAGAGCCAGGATGGGTATACAAGGCTGCAACTTCTGTACACACAGAAATATGGAATTACTTACACTCACGGGAGTCCTTCAGGCAGGAAAACAAGACGCAGGAGTGTGATAGGTATATAGGAAATAAGTTAAAAAATAATAGAGTGACAAAACATTCCCAGTCAGTAGGGTATGTCCTGTGTACATACCCACCATTTACTGTGTCTTTAGAGTGGACTCCTATAGGGCCAGATTGTAGGAGTTCAGTTTGCCAGCCAACCTCATCTTTTTGCTTTCCCTCTTAGGCCAGCTGGACAGGGTGGGATAGAATGATTAGTCAATGGAGAAGCACATGACTCTCCAAACTCTTTCCGACTCCACCTTCCAGCCAGTGGGGAGGAAGGTTCTTCAAGGAGATTCCAGCCTTTGCCAGATACAAAGAGAGTCCAAAGCCCTAGGCAATCCCAGTTGAAAAACAAATATATAGGCATTTACTAGTGTGGTAAATGGGATTTTTCTGGGGGGAGCAGGATACACTGAGAAAGAAGGAGTGACATAACAATGGGGGAGGCAATTTCCACTCAATCGTGAGATTTAAAAAATTGGTTGGGAATTGTTAGACAATATAGAATGGTGTTTGAGAGTAGTTTTCTGGAGCCAGGCTGTCTGGATTGAAATACCAGCTCCATCATTTATTAGCTGTGTGAACTTCAGCCAGTAATTTGGCCTTTTCTATGCCTTGGTTTCTTCATCTGTAAAACAGGAGTGATTATAGTATCTGCCTCCTAAGGTTGATGTGAAGATTATGCAAATTAATGTATATGCTTAGAACAGTGTCTGGTCCATGGTACGCACAAATATTAGTTTCTATTATCATTATAGTGGAAAGAAACTTTTCAACCAAACTTATCTGTGCTCCTAACACTGCTGGGTGATCCTAGGTAATTTATGCAACCTCCCAGAGCTTTACTGTCCTCATCTATAGCATAGGGTAATAACACAATCTTGTGAGGCCATTGTGAGGATCAAGTGAGTTATGCATAAAAATATTCATCATAATTTTGGTAATAAGTAGTAATTTAGTAAATTCCCATTTCCTTCCTTTCTTTGATTTAGCATTAATGATTTTTTTTTTTTGGTGTGTTTAGTGGTGGGAAAAGAATAGTAAAATTGAAAATATGCATAATCGAGAAATATATCTTATAATTAAACTAAATTGAAATATAAATTGAAATGTATTTTATGATTAAAAAGAGAACTCTTTGCCTTATAGGGGTGTCACAGCACCTAGGAACAACATGGCAACCAAGCAAGGCTATTCCTCAGGAAAACTGTAAGGTATGTCAATAGCAAGTCTATCTTCCCTTTTCTGTGCAGTGTTTTGGTCAGGTTCAACCTTGCCTCTTTCCAGACTGTCTGACAGCAGAATCTTGGGGAGAAGAGGGGGAGTAGGGTGAGGAAAGGGACTTGGAATGACTCACTGAGGGACTACGATGTTCACCATTGCTTTAGCTCCTTTCCCTTTTTCCTGAAGCCACAGTCAGCGGGGCTGAGGTGGAGGGAGAGGTTCAGTTTGGGCTAGTGACTCTCTGAGAAGCCCTGGGTCAGGGTAGGGTAGTTACCTACATCCCTGTTCCTCGAAAGACAGAATCAGCAACATCTAGGAGCTTGTTAGAAATGCAAAAGCTCAGGTCCCACCCCAGGCCTACTGAATCGTAACATATGACAAGATTCCCAGGAATTTAGATGCACATCTAAGTTTGAGAAGGACTGAGCTAGAGCCTATGGAGTCTACTGTAGCCGCTGATCTGAATGGATGGCTGGCATTGGGACTTTTACTTCAAATTGTGTATCTCTTTTTCATTTCCTCTTTCCTGAATCCACACTGTGTGCTTTATAAATTGAGATGACAATGGCCTACTATGGCAAAAGTGGCTACTTTAATTGATCAGAACTCTCAAGAGGCCCAGAAGTGGAAGATGGTCCAGATGACAATTGAAAACTCACTTTGGAGGCAAGTAGGGTGGAGAGGGCAAAGATCTGTCAGTCAGGTGGTATCTATGGAGTACTCACTGTACACCAGGTCCCTACTATGTGCAAGCACTCTGGGTGACACAAACAAATAGCATGGTGCCATGGAAATCACTGGACTGGAAGTGTTCAGGAGATTGGGGACCGGGTCCAAACCTCCCTTTTAAGTAGCTGGGCAATTCCCCTTGCCGCCCCGCCCCCCCCCAGCATCTTTGTTTCCCATCTGAAAAACCCACGAGTCAGATTAGAAGACCCTAAATTCCCATCCAACTCTAAAAGCTCTGTGATTCCAATAATTCCAGCCCCAAAACCTTAGTCTAATTTGGTGGACAAAATGATTTTAAATGATTACACATGAAACAGAGGGCAACCCAGGACAGGATGTGATTAAGGGCTGAGTTGTGCGGAACTGGCAGCGTAGGGTTTAAGGACTCCTGGAAGCTGTGTGTAAAGAGCAGGGTCTGGAACCTCCCTAAACTCCTCCCCTCGGTCCCAGAGCCAATACAGAAGGGGGCGGGCTGGACTTTCACGCTAGGCCACAAGGTGTCGCTGTCATGATGTGAAATCCATGGCTGGCAGGGATGCTTCCTGGGAAAACCTTTGCTACCCGTCTGGGTAAAGGGACAACGCTAGCTTCCAGACCTGAAAACACAGGTTTCTAAGGGTGCTGAGCAGCTTAGAGCACACGGTTGTCTTTTGTCTAAGCAGAAATCAGTGTGTACCCTCTACCCTGCCCAGATTGACTCAGACACCACAAAAGAAGTGACAAGCAAGAATGTCAGTGCAGGACGCATAAAGGAGCCCGCCTCCTTACACACGCGCGCGCGGGCGCGCACACACACACACACACACACACACACACACACACTTTTTGGACATCGAGGTATCAGGACCACCCCCCTTCCTTCCCACACTGGGTCTCTACCCCACAGATCAGCTCCTTGCTTGCCCAGAAGGCAACAAGGAATACTAGCCTAAACCAGAAGCCTTCGCTTCACTTGCTCACCCCCAGGAGAGTTTGCCCTGGCGGTGGAGACAAGAGGCTTCAGCACAGAAGCCTAAGACTCTAGGCTAGTCACTGTCCTGGAGTGAGCAGTGTCCACCCCAAAGCCAGCAGCACTCAACATTCTCTCCATGTCATTTCCCTCGAAAGGGGGATGTGTGTGAGTGAAAAGTAGTGTTTTTTAAGGCTCTACTATGTGCTGAGCTCTGACCAAGGTGCTTTACATATATTGCTCATGGGTCCACTTCCTCTGCACTGGTTCCCACTACTGACTCTCACTTTGCGCCCCTGAAAAACAACACAAACAAACTGAAAACCTCTAAATCTCCTAGGGAAATAACCAACAGTTACTCTGATGTGTAGGCGAAAGTGCACAGAACTTGCAGCCCCCACACCTTGGACATTTTCAGTTCTGTTTCTTGACAATCATGTGACAATACATATATTATTTAACCTTTCTGAGCCTCAATTTCCACATCTGTAAAATAAAGCAAAGTTATATAGAAACAACTTTTTTTGTGTTTAATTTTGTTGTTTTGATTTTTTTTTCTTGAGGTGTAATTTACATACTACAAAGTGCACATATCATCAGTGTATAGCCCATTGAATTTTCAGGCTAACCATCCCAACACCCAGACTAAAAACAGAACACTGCCAGTATCTCAGAGCCCATTACCCCCTCTTCCAGTCACTAACCTTCCCCCCTCCCTCCCACCAAGGTACATACTAGCCTGACTTGTAAGAACACAAATTCGTGTTTGCTATTTTTATATTTAATATAAGTGGAATCATACAATATGTACTCCTTCATTTCTGGTTTCTTTCACTAAACATCTTGTTTTTACAGGTAGCAATAGTTTGTTTTTTATTTTTGGAAGTGGCGGTGGGGAACATAAGCAGGCAAGGGGAGAGAGAGAAGAGGAGAGACAAGTGGGCTGTGCTGTCAGCATACAGCCTGACGTGGGGCTCAGACTCACAAACCATGAGATCTTGACCTGAGCCAAGGTCAAGAGTCAGATGCTTAACCAACTGAGCCACCCAGGCACCCAATGGTTTGTTCTTTATACTTGCTGTATAGTATTTCACTGTGAATATACAACAATTTATCCACTCTATAGCTAATGGATATTTGGGTAATTGCTTGTTGGGGGACTATCATAAATAGTGCTTCTCTGAACATTCTAGTATCTCTTTCTCTTTTTTTTCAATTTTTAAAATTGTGGTTAACATGAAATTTACCACCTTACCCATTTTTAAATGTGCAGTTCGGTGGTATTAAATACATTCATAATTTTGTGCAACCATCACCAAAAAACATCTCCAGAACTCTTTTCATCTTATAAAACTGAAACTCTATACCCATTAAACACTAACTCTATTTCCTCCTCCCTCCAACTTCTGGTAGCCACCATTCTATTTTCTGTCTCTATGATTTTGATTACTCTGAGTACCTTATATCTTTTGGTGAACATTTTGTATTCAAATGTGTTAGACACAGTATCTGTTAGACTAATATCTCTCATGAATGTAAATGCAAAAATCCTCAACCAAATATCAGCAAGTCAAATCCAACAATGTAAAAAAGAAAGACATTCCGCAATTAAGTGGGATTTGTATCAGGTATGTGAAGCTGGTTAAACATTCAAAAATCAATGAATGTAATAAATCGTATCGGTAGGTTCAAGAAGAATACATCACATGATCATATCAACAGATGCAGATAAAACATTTGACAAAATCACATTCATGATAAAAACTTTCAGTAAATTAGAAATAGAGGGAAACTTCTTCAACTTGATAAAGAATAACCACGACAAATCTATAGCTAACATCATACTTAATCGTGAGAAGCCCAAAGCTTTACCACTAGTATCAGGAACAAGGAGCAACGTTGTCCTCTCTCACCCTCTCCCACTACTTTTCAACATCATACTGGAAATTCTAGCTAATGCACTAAGACAAGAGAAGAAAAGGAAAAATATGTATGTGTGTATATATATGTATATATATATATATGTATATATATATATATATATATATATGGAACAAATAAAACTGTCTTTGTTTGCAGATGACATGATTGTCTATGTAGAAAATGTCTATGTAGAAAATCTGAAGGAATCCATAAAAACAATCCTGGAACTAATAAGTGATTATAGCAAACTTTTAGGATACAAAATTAGTTTACAAGTCACTTTTCTATATACCAGAAGTGAAATAGTGGAATTTGAGATTAAAACCACACTACCATTTCCATTAGCATCTCTCAAAATGAATTGCTTAGGTATTTATCTAACAAAATATGTATAAGATCTATATGAGGAAACCCATGAAACTGTGATGAAAGAAATCAAAGAAGAGCTAAATAAGTGGGGAAATATTCTATGGGTAAGAAGACTCAATATTGTCAGTATATCCGTTCTTCCCACTTTTATCTGTAGATTCAATGCAATCCCACTCATAATCCCATCAAATTATTTTGTGGATATTGACAAATGGATTCTAAAGTTTATATGGAGAAACTGAGACCCAAAATAGCCAACACAGTATTGAAGGAGGAAAACGAAGTTGGAAGACTGACAAGACCCAAATTTAAGACTAACTGTAAAGCTACAGTAATCAACACAATGTGGTATTGGTGAAAAAAATAGACAAATTGATCAGTGGAACAGAATAGAGAGCCAAGAAATAGATCCACACAAATGTAGTCAATTGATTTTTCACAAAGAGCAAAGACAATACAATGGAGCAAAGACAGTTTTTTTCAAAAAATCATCCCAGAACAACTGGATAGCCACATACAAAAATATGAATTTAAATGCAGACTTTACACACTTCCTAAAAATTAATTCAAAAGGGTCACAAACCTATGCATGAAACACACAACTATAAAACTCGTAGAAGATAACCTAGGAGCAAATCCAGGTGACCTAGGGTTTGGCAACAACTTTTTAGATGCAGCACCAAAGGTGTACTCTATGAAAGAAAGAAATGTTAGGCTGGATTTCATTAGAATTAACAAAAAAATTCCACTCTGTGAAAGATATTGTCAAGAGAAGCTACAGACTGGGAAAGATGATTGCAAGAGACATATCTGATAGAAAAACTATTACTTAAAATATAAAAATGATTCTTAAAACTCAACAGAAAGAAAAGTAACAAACTGATTTTAAAAATAGGCCAAATATCTCAGAAACACCTCACCCAAGATGTACAGATGGTAAACAAGCATATGAAAAGGTGTTCTACATCCGATGTCATCAGGGAAATGCAAATGAAAACAACAATGAGATATCCCTATACT